TTCATTTTTTTTGCATGTTCTTAATGCTAATGGTCTCTAATACTTTCAAAGGAGGAACTTAGACAATATCCTCTCCCTCATGAATGTAAGCGGTAAGTCCTGGCTTTGTTGGCAACTTTTAATCTTCCTATAGGGACACATGCTTGAGAGGTAGAAATCCGATTGGTGACTGTAGCTCTGTAGATTGTTAGGCAGTCAGGAGGATAATTAGAGGAAAATTAGGTAGCAAACCCATGCAATTTTTCTTTACCATTAATATTTCCCATTTAAGCTGTAGAATTTATTCAAAAGGCATTTTATGGAGTGTGGGTTCAGTAGATCTATGATCAAACACAGCATCAGTCATGATAAGTTCTGGTATCATCTTTTGGGGAATACACTCTACCTCGGCAGGGAACTCTCCTTGCTAGTCTAATAGGTCTTTTCCAACTCTGCAGCTTCTAAGTCCTTGCTGTAGAGCAATTGGAGAATTTTGAATGCAGTAAATCACCAGGGCTTGTGGTAGTTTCTAAGAAAATAATGCATTAAAATACCAGAAATATTGAAAGCATCTTTAAAAACAAGAACTATTCCTAAAGATGGAAAGTTGTTAATGTGGCATTTATTTTCTAAAAGTGGGCTGATACTGAATTACAGACAGGCGGCCTAACTTCAGTTCCAGCAAAATTGATGGTGTGGGCAATTAATCCTTGGTCAAGTATAATGAGATATTCTAACTATCCCTGCTGCCATAAGAATGCCTCACTAACATGTTAGTGTGCTTTGAAAAAGCCAAACACCATTTATTTGATTTTTAAGGGAGGAAAAGGAAAACAGTTGCAGAATTACATAGTACAACCTTGCTATAAACTAAAAAAGCTAGTTAAACAACAGAAGACAGTTATAGTGAACAGCTGCACCTCAACCTGGCAAGAAATTGACCAAGTAATTAATAATTGTAATTAACTGATTTGATAGGTTTATTAAAGATATATGGAGAAAATGAAGTACAGGCTGGTGAAGTTTGTTAAAGACTAAAGACCCATTTGAATCATTTTGTTCTAGAAACTGGCTTTAATCATTTTCTATGAATGATTTTTCTACCAATTCATCTTGAAGCATGACTAAGTATAGCATCTATGGGATGGATTTGAAGAAGATATCACAGGCATGAAGCCCAGATTTTGATTCCTACTACACACACAACCTATAAATGTGCTGGTGAATCCATACAGAGGCATCCCTTTGAGTAGCTGGTATGGACATCTGCTGGAGGTAGGATAAAGAAGGAATGCAACTTAAAGCAAAACTATGTTAAGCTAATCCAATTATATCACAGTAGTTACTTACTATCAGGTGATGGCCAAACAATGTTATAACCGAACATTGTGCAACTTTAAATGAGTATGTTTTCTAATAGATCAGTGATGTAATAATGAAACCACGTTAACTGAGACAGCGTTTAGTGAGGAGTACCTGTACTACAATGCGACTCCCTTCTAGCGTGCCCACATCCCCCCACATCAACTTGACTAACACTTAGGCAGCAGAGTTGGATGGAGCAGTTTGGTACACGGATCACTTCCACCAGTAGTTACTGGTAAGGAAGCATCCTCTGCCACCAAAGAATATGATTAGAGGGCAGATTCTCATCTAGTACAAAGTAAGTCCCATTAACTGCAAAGAGAAGTAGAAAAATGCCATCAAAACCAAACAGGCCTCAATCTTATTTAACAAAAGAAGATTGAGAGGTGACTTGATTCCAGCCTTCAAATACCTTTAGAGGTGCACAAATCTGGCTGTAATTTAAGCCATTAACTTTCTGTGTTGTCCATTGCAGAACAACTGATCAGCGTCTTCATTACAATCCTTTTTATATTTCAGAACTGTTATCAAATCCCCACTCAGTCTTCTTTTCTCTAAATAATGCCCATTTTTCCGTGTTTTTGTGAACTTTTATCTTGTTACTCTCTTCTGAACAGTCTTCAGATTTTCCACATCTGATGAAGTATGCTATTGCCTATGGAAGCTTACGCCTTTCTGAACAAGTTAGTCTTCAATGTACCACTCTACCCTGCCTTTTGCCTGATTTCAAGCTAACACAGCTATTTACCTTATTTTACATCTTTAAAAAAAAAAAAAGTGTGGTTACCGAATGCAGTACTCCAGGTGAGGTTTCATTGGTGTTGAAGAATCACTGCCTGTGTCTTGCATACCAACAGTCCTGTTAATACTTTTAGCTTATTGTATAACAATGCTGCACTGTGGACTCATGCAGCTTGTGGTTTCCTACAAATTACAGATTATATCCTGTAGTACTGCAGCCTAGCCAATCATTCTCCATTTTGTATTTATAGATTTGATCCTTCCTAAGCATAGTACTTAGTAGTATGTAGTACATAAAACCTGTGTAGTCTATATTCTATAAGGTGTTTTCTGAGAACCATTGCCATTTACAATACACCTTAGACTGAGGTTCAAATTTAAGAGAAGGCAGCTTCCCTTGGTTTAACAAGCAGACTGTCTGTCTCTGTTGCCCTGCATTTCTCTCTTTAAATGCTTAATATCTCACATGGGCTCAGGACCCACCTCTAAATCTGTCTAGTCTATCTCACTAATTTAAACCTGTTTGATTTAAAAATGGATGAAGGTAAAAATTTGGTTTTAATGCGATACAGGTCCTACGGTTTTAAACCATCAACACTTCTAAGTACATAGATAACATTAGCATTGTGAGTTGTATTGTCAAGTCAATAGGATTTGTCCCCATTTTGGGGCTACTTACCCTGCAGGCACCTTTCTGGTTTCTTCTGGGCCACCTTGCTCATGCCTTTAGTTTCTACTCTTCTTGGATGACAAGCTGCATCTTTATCTCTTACTACAACAATTTTACAGTTTCAGCTCACTGTGAATGTCCTTTGCAGGTGTGGCCTTAGTTCAGCATCTGAAATCTTGACCTAAAATCTCAGGGACATGAACAGTCAACTAGTGATCAGTCAGCTTTCACAAACCATAGTGCCATTTATGCTCCATTTCAGAGAAAACATCACAATAGCAAACAGGCTACACAGATGACAAGTTTACCACACATATTATCAATATAGGATGCAGATAAGTAGAGATACATCTTGTGAATTTTCTTTGTTCCACAGGCTTTGCCTCATCCTATGCTTTATTTGTCTGACTAAATTACACCCTGCTGGTAAGCCAGGAATGTAATGATACATGATTCTTATAGCATAGTCAAACTGAATCCATGCTATGCAAGTTCCCCAGCCTGTAGGTTGCTACAGCACCTTGCACTTGTAAGTGTTGAATCCCATCTTATTCTCATCCGCCCACCCCTGTAACCTGTCTAGGTCTGATTGCAGCCTATTCCTCCCTTCTAGCATGCCTGTACTACATTCTTCAAGCCAGATACACTGACAAAGAGACAGATTCTAAGTGCATGTGATTCGGTGTGCTTTAGCAAAAACGTTGAAAACAAGCCTATGCACTTGTGAAAACTAAACATAAGGATAGGTAGAAATGGTTACAAAATAAAACTAGTTTGTAACCTGGATCTTTTTGGGTATATTAAGTGTTGGGTATTTTCAATTCTTGGTCAGCAGGCTCCTCACTGTGTACAGTACACTCTGCTCTGAATTGCAGCTCTCTTAGGCTCCCACACTGTCTTGTCCTGTATTGGCTGGTGCAGCAGGAATCTGAAACAATGGACCTGTCACCCTCCCTCCCACTGAGCCTCAGTTACATTTTAAAATACAGCTCACAACCCACCTCTCTCCTAACTTCAGCTGTCGTCTACATCCCCACACCAATCTTTGCATTCTCTAAGGCCAAGATCTCAGTAGGATTCAAAAAAAGGGTTAGGCATTTATATGAAAAGCAAGAATATTCACAGTTACATTAGATGGAATTAAAAACCATGGATAAGAAATAGAAATCTTCAAGATTCAGGGAAAGCAAGCAATAAGTGACAAAGTTAAAACAGTATATTGGGGAATTTCTTGTCTTTTTTTCTGAAGCATCTAGAATCGATCACTGTTGGAGCCATAATATTCAACAGATCAAACACAGATTTGGTTTAGGTCCACTATGACAGTGCCTGTGCTCCCACTACTATCAAACCTGTAAAACCAAAAAATGAAGAGCTTCCTCCCAAAATGATGAGAATTTTCTTTTAAAAATGGTTATATTGGGTATTTAGTATGCCAAGACCATTTTATTGAGGTGGGTTTTGGCCCTTTGGGGGAAACTCCTTACTTCCACATATGGCTGTCTCCTACATCAAACCGTATCATCACTCACAAGTGAATTTTGTTCCCTCATACCTCCTATCATTTTCCCCCCTGGGCCTCTATAATCTCCCCAGTTCATGAATTCTTCCCACATGGTATTCAATGAATTGGTTTGGAGGACTCCTCTCTATTCCTCTTGAGTGCAGATAGGGCTGGGGAATGGGATTAGAACTACTTTTGGTTGCTGGGTCATTTCTCCTTGCTGTGAAAACAGAGGAAGCAGAAGTCTCTTTCTAGTTATTTATGTGATGGATTATTTATTGGATTCAACATCACCATGCTCTGCAGACCAAGTGGGAACAACATGTGAGCTAGGTGAATGAATGTTGTCCGAGTCCCAAAACATTCATATAGAGTTTCAAATTCCCTTGGGGCCAGGTTTTCTGCATCTGCAGTTGGTTTAGGTGGTTTCTTTGGTCTGTCTCTAAAGTGTTTGGCAAGTATGATGTTTAGGCAAGGGTAAAAGAAAAAACAAAACCTCTTTCATGTAGTCTGGGTCAAGCCACTATTAGGTCTCCCAGGGTTTTGATGTGGGACCAAGGTTCTCTTCCTCATGTGGTGCTTGGTTGAGGTATTCATCAACTTCAGCCATAATTCTTGGTCTGAAAGTCTAGGAAGCAGTGTCACACATTACATGTCAATATGTGATTTAATTGCCCTAAACAGGGATGCACTATTATCACTAGGTTTGATTTTAGTAGTTTACCATAAAGAAGAATCTGGTTTTTTTAGAGGTAGGTTTCTGTGGGTTGAGTTGATCATGACTCTTGTGAGCTAGTATATAATGGATAAGTTCAACTATCCTCTGATCCCTAGGAGCACATGGAGAGGATGTGCAATATGTACACATCTGATGAGCCAGGCATGTACATACAGGTAGATGGGTTGGATACAAGATATTTTAAACCCTTTTTAAAGGAGTTCATGTTGCTTCTCTACTTTCTTTGTGATGGGTGTTATCATAGCCAGTTTTTGGCAGGGTCAAGTAGTCATTTGTTCCTTAGGAGGCAATGCTGTTTCAACTTGTCAGTACATTGAATGAGTAAATAGATTTCATGCCTGTTAAGAAAAAGAATCAGCAAATCTCACAAGTAGCTCTAGAAATTACTTGAAGAAATTAAGTGCCTGCATTTGTGCCAGTGTTACTACTCATACAGGTGATAAAGGTGAAAAAGCCCCTGGTTTGGGACACAGGTTACTGCTGTAGGCTCCTCAAGTCCCAGATCCAGCATTTCTCGACTTTCCATCTGGTATTGCTCCTTGACAAGGGACATAACTGTGGAACACAACTTCAATTTCTTCCTGAAATTAGATGCGCCATTTAGCCTTTCTGCAGTCTTGCCTACAGATCATAAGGCAGAGGGTTCTCATCATTGTCCAGCAGAGAATGAGTGCCCCAGTGGTTTGAGAGGAAAAATCCATTTCCTGTAGGGACAGTGCTGAGACAGAGAGTGCTCTCAGAAGAGGTCTCCATCTCTACTGGTAACCGTCTCTGTACCAAGGTCTATCCAGGTCACTCCAAAGATATATCTAGCAGCATTAAATGTCTATGTTGTAGGTGCTGATGCTGATGACTGTACCAGGGGAGCACTGTTAGGGAAGGTCCTCTGTGCCTTTGATTCAATTTGGGGTTCATGTTTTCTTCCTGAAGGTCTTTGCATCTTCCTATACAAAAGTAACAACTGAGCTCCAACTAGGGTTGGTGTCAATTTTTAGTGTATTTTTTTGGTGCCAGACTTCAGTGCTGGAAATGCGATACTGATTTTGCTGCCTGGCATCAGCCATTTGTCTGGTGCTATGATACCTTTTTGTTCTGGGTTTTAAGTTCTTCATATTTGCTAGATGGGATACTCAGGTGTTGCTTTGTCTGGTAGTTCTGATGCCCGTCTCCCCTTCATAGATTGCTCAAAACAAGTGCTCGTGAATTCAGTCCGTCTCGGAGACCAGGGTGACGCCGGCAACTCACCTGCGGCAGGAGACAACGCTCTCGGGAAACCCGCCCGGCTTGTGAGCCGGCTTTACAAACAGCTGCGGCCGGCCGGTGACGTCAGCACCAGACGGCGGCCGGCGAAGATAAAAACGGCGGCGGCTGCAGCGGGAGAGGTGGATGGCCGCGGAGTGGGGAATCCGTCGGCGGCAGGGAAGGAGTGTGGGGCCCGATGGTGTCCAGAGGAGAGCAGGAACAAGGAGAGCCAGGGAGAGGGAGCCAGCAGCAGCCTCCGGGAGCCGGCGATGGGCGAGAAGGGCCCGAACGGGACGTTGGCGAGGGGGAGCAGCTGCAGAGGACGCGCTGGAACCAGGTGAACGCCCGGCTCGGAAGGGTGACGAGGATCCCGAAGGAGGGTCGTGATCGGGGCGGGGTCGCCGCCGGGACCACGGGCACCAGGATAGACTTGACTTAGAGTCCTAGGGATAGGGGTTGGGAGCCGACTCTGTACTCAGAGGGGCTTGACCCGAGATGTATAAGGGATAGGGGCAAGGGAAGAAGTTGGATGGGCGTGACAGTCCACGTGACTCTGCTGAATCAGCTCAGGAAGGTGGCGTGAGGCTGGGGTGCAGGGGTGGTGGAGCCCTGTGTACATCTGCTGGGTTGGACCCAGGCAGTGAGGGACCTGCTAGGTGACCCTCCCATTGACGGTACCTCAAGACGTGGCAGGAGAGAACAGGGTCAGTGACACAGGGAAAGAACAACCTCGTAGCCTCACAGGCCCTAAGGCTTGGTGACAACAGTAGGGTGAATAAAGCCCAGCGGGCACACAGTCAACTCATGAATTCTCAATGGAGATTACTGGTGTACTGAGAATCTATTCAGTATATGACTCTTGCTTGAGAAGATGCATTTGCTGTGTGCATCCTTAAGGCAGATTGATCCACCTCATGGAGGACAGGGCTTGAAGTCAGCAGGCTAAAGCTGAGGAAAATAGTGTGTACTAGACAGTCTGATTTAGAAATCTGCTCGCACGGACCCACTTTATTTGCCAAGGTCTTCTATAGGTGAAATAGATAAGCTGTACAGAATTTTAGCCGGAGCTAAAGACTAGCAGGTCAGACATTCACTAGGTTCTGTCCCATGGCCATGGGAAGTAAAAGAAAGTTGAGGAGGGTTGCAGCTGCTCTGACTTGCTACCAGAGCACAAGGTAGCACAGGGTAGAGAATCATAGCCTTGGACACTGCTATTCAAGAAATCCCATCCTGCTTACAAGAGATGCAGATGCATCTGCAGTGAAATCCACTTGCTGGAAGAAAACAAAAATCTATTCATGAGTTCTGTATGGCACCAGATTTATATTGTAGTCATGTAGTGCATAGTTATATGCTACTTACAAAATTTTAATTGCTACAGATTGTGACAGGGGGTAGGGGCACCTTGGGGCCAGGTCTCAACTTTGGCCCGCCTACCTGTCTAGGAGCAATTTGCCCTGACTCACCTGCCATGACTTGATGAATAAATAACTGGTGTGAAATGCGTGAAGCTGCTCACTTTGTGTGCCCTGATGCCAAAGGCATTGTACACTGCTTTGAGCTCCCCTATACCATGTCCCAAGCCTCACAGATAACATCTTACGTTGCTATTAGCTCCAGCCCAAAGCTGGGCCAAACTCTGTTACTTGTAGAGCCGCTAACATTTGGCTCTTACACTCCGCCCTTCACAGGGCCTCTTTTGTACTGCCCCTCACTGGGCCACTCTTGACCTGCCTACTCCATGACTCTATGCAACTCTTCAGGCTTTCCTACTCACTCTGTCTGGACCACATGCAGCCTTTCAGGCCACCCTCACACACCCTAGTCTACGTGTCCACCAGCCTTATGCCTCATGCTGGGGTGAACTCAGCCACTAGCCCCTCTGTGGGCCACTCTCTCTCATTTACATTCTTATGGGGGATTGGCCTGTGAGTTGCCCCTCAGGCCACCACTACAGCCTAACTCAACACAACCCTGGTGCAGCCCTTCCAGTCACCCTTGCAACCCTACTCTACATCCCCAATGCACAGCCCTTCAGACCACAAAGGCACACCCTACTCTGTGTGGGCCACCACACATACTTCTGTCCCCTCACTGGGGCCACTCTAGCTTTCTGCCTCCTCTCTGGGGCCTCCAGGGTCTTATACCCCATGGGGTTCATGTGTCCATAGATGTGCCTGGCCCCCATGCCTGTCCCTACATTGGGACAACCCACCAGGATGTGGGCCTGGGGTTAAGGCACCCCTACCCACTTTTCACTGGGGAGGCAACTGGTTTGGCATTTCTGGGGAACTACCCTGCCACAGGTAGTCCCACCAGACCATCCTTCCCCAGCAGGGTGTAGTTTTCAGTCATTACCCAGGATCAGGAGCCTTCTGCCATCCCCATAACTCCTATTCTTACCTCCAAGATGATCTGAGTAGCAACTCCAGCCAGATGGTGTTCTCTCTACAGCTGTAGCCAGCAAACCGCTCACTCTCCTGAGGGCCTAAGCTAAAATGAAGGCTGCTTAGCCCCATTCACCTATCCAGTATCCTCCTGCAGTCATGTGACTGCCTCATCAGGGCTGGGCCATACCTGCGGGCTGCCCTGCTGTCTGCTCTCAGTCCTTAAAGTGGCAGGCACCAAAGGTGCTCTGCCACACAGATAAACAACTGAATCTGAAGTTATGAACTAGAACTTTGTGTTTATAAATCAGATTGGAGAACTGGTCCCCAGAAGATATAGTTACATAACTCAATTAAAATCAGTTTGTTTCGTTTGTTGGAGCCCATCAAACTGCTCTGCATTATTCAATCAGCCCCTGACAATTACATTTAAGATGTGATTAACTGGCTAATCGCATCTTAAATAGTGACCTGGCCATATGTTCATTCAGTTAATGGCTTGTGTGGGGAAAAAAAAAAAGCAACAGTTATTATACAAAATATGTGTAATAACTTTTTTGCTGGCTTCTGTCACACCTTTAATTGAGGTGTCCAGTGCTCCAGCTTTCAGAGCATACTCTGGTGTGCTCTAGAGGCTGGGAGTCCTGGTTAGCTGATCAGGGGTCCCAGATGGGGAGCACAATGACCTCCCCTGATTGGGAGCCCTGATCAGCTGATGGAGCTCCTAGCCATGGGAGCATATGGTGCCTACTCACAGTGGAGAGCTGATAAGCTGACAGATTAGCTGATCAGAGCTCTCAGTTGCAGGGGTGCACTATGTGCTCCTGTAGCTGGGAGCTCTGTCAGCTAATTGGAGCTTAAAGCTGTGGGAGTGCATGGTGCATCCCTGGGGCTGGGAGCTCCAAAAAAAAAAATTGAGAAAAGACTGCTGGTGTGATCCTGATCCTGGGCTCCCCCTGCACTGGCAATATGCTGTGATGGGCTCTAATGCTTGATCCCAATTGCACCTCTTGCCACACACGTGGCATGGCTGGAAGTGCAATCTTGGGATCATGCATTAGATTTCACCATGCCTTCTTTTTAACATCTGTCAGTGGCCTTCAAAATATACTCATAACTTTCAAATCAGCTAAATATGCAACAAGTTACACACACACACACACACACACACACACACACACACACACACACACACACACACTCTCTTAGGATGTATATATTTGTGCAGTGAAGCTGCTCTGATGCACTGTAATTACTGTGCTCCAGCATCACATTCATCAGTGTCCCCACACTGAAAAATGGTTGCGAGAGCGCTTTAACTAAAGCTCATTGAACTTTAGTTATTATGCCTGAAACATGTGACACTCCGGATGCTTTAGAGTGGTTCTTGGAGCCGCTCTAATTAAAGCACCCCTCTCCCAGCACGTGTATAAATGCCCTTAGTCATCAGTAGCAGATTATTAAAGTATTATTATTAAAAATATTAAACCATGTTGGGCACTTGAAATATGAGAGGTGGACTTAAGACAGAGTGAGGATGTCATATGGAAATAATCACTTTTGCATAAGAGAAACAGGATCTCTTAATTAACTGTTTATGCAGAACTTTTGAAGGCCAATTTAGTATTTAGAAACTCACGGTTCTTTGCCCCCCAAAAAGTGGATTATGGGTGGAAAATGGAAATACACCTTAAAATTACACATATTGGAAAAAAAAAAATCTAAAAAAAATTAGGAGTCAAATTCAGGATGTTTTTTGGGAACAGGCAAATCTTGCTGATACCCAAAGAACAAGCACTGCAGGGGCTCAATAACAAACATGACTTTGACCCTAAATCAAGCAGAAGAAAAAGTGAAATATGTACATATCACAAGGTGCTATGCAAGTATTTCTTCATACAGTGTAGGTGACTTTAGCTTTCACTAAGGTGAAGGAAACTACAGGGAAGGAAGATATGAAGGTTAATGGACTTGTCTATGATAGGTATATACATGTTACATTTACCTTGCTGTGTGCTATAGGATTATAAGGGGTTAAATTCCAGTGGGAGCCATCACCATGCATGTAGGAAAGCTGTTAACTGCTTTTACCAGTTACCAATACTTAATAGCAAGGTAGGTAGTCACTCCAACAGTTTCATCTCCAACCATGTTTTGTGCCAGAGACTGGCTTGTAAGCCGAGTTGAGGATACAGTTTCTGATAAGAAACTAGAATAACAAGTCTGGATGGGTAAGAGAGATACCAGAAATGTACAGGAAAATGGGTGGGGTGGAGTGGGAGGGTTGAGACCACTGGGACACAAGCTGGGCATCTGACCACGCAGGTTTAGGAATCTGAAGTAAGTTACCTTACTTACCTTTAGCTGATAAGTAAGATGGATCAGACTAGATCAGTGACTCACCACTTCTAAAAACCTCAAGAAGAAGCCCCTCTTTAAACACAAGGCACCCTCTGAAAATGCCACCTCTTAGTTAGTACTCATTTTTTACTACAGAAAAATAAAAGAGCAATTCTTCCTGTGTGAAGACCTCAGATAGCCCAAAGTAGATTAGAATGGTAACACTATAGATTCCAGTTTGAAAACTCCAAGTTTATCCTGGCAATCATATTTGCACACTTAGCAGTGTGAACATTGTGTGGCACCCCGTGGCACCCTTGAAAGGATCTCATTGCACTCTGGTTGAGAATCACTGTCTAAATTGGGGTAGACACCCCCCCAGCACAGGTGCCAGTGTGTGGCATGTGAAGGCATTTTGCAAGTCAAGGTTGCGGGTGTTTTTGGTACTCTGCCCAAAAACAGTTGACCCCTGGTCTAGATCTTCTCTTATTTAAAGTCCCTTTTTCTGCATCCCTCTTGATTAGATATTGTGATTAATACAGCAACCCAAAATAAAATTGCTGCTTTTAAAAGAGAAAACTTAAAAGGTACAGAACCTAGTTGGATCTGAGTAGTCATAGTTTGTTCACAGCAAGTTGCAGCTTCTGGGCCTGATCGAAGTGGGAAATTACAGGAACTCATCCAAAGAACTACAGTGGAAGGTGCTGTAAAACCCTGACTTTGATCCTGCATGACACCTAGCATCTCATGCATCAGTGCTGTATGTTTCTCTTGCAAGCAGAACCTGACATCCTGAGCTGAGCTCTGAGGTAGCATTTCCTACTTTGGCATCAGTACTGGTCAGCTGAGGTGTAGCCTGGTCTCTATGTGCACATGGAGTCTTTGCTTAAAAGTCTTTTTTCCTAATTAGACAAAATGAAACATACATCCCTGCCTATTATCAACTGCTGTTCCCTTGTACCTGTAAGTCTGAAGCAGAATAGGGATGGTTAGTGAATAAATATAGCAGCGGGTACTATTTCTGAAGCAGAAAGCACATTGCTAAACCAAGAAGTACCTTAATTAAGTGACAATAGAGCAGGTGCCATATTTTACAAGGTAATAATCTGGTCCTAGGTGGATAACTGCAGGTTATTGCCAAGAAAACTGGGCACCCATCCTATTATCACTGTTTAACTACAAAGTATGCCCCTGGTGCCAGTTTCTAGGTCAGAATTACAAGTGTGAAATAAAATAATCTAACCATTCCTTTGGTATTACAGCAATATTTGGCTGCTGTGTAGTGCCAAGTTCAAGCCTCATAGCCTAATGGTTTCCAGTTTAGAGGTCACACAGCAGCAACACTACTCTGAATTGATTAGTTTTGAGCATGTCAATTTACACTGGCAGCAGGCAACAGAATAGGAGAACAGGTGGTGGTGTTATTTTTTTTCTAAACTGAATTTGAAAAAATGAATACATTTGTTTTCTTTCAGCTTTTTCCAAATTAAACTAGAATCAAGGTAATGAGCTGAGAAGATAAAGTTGGGGGAAATCTAACTCATTAAAATGCTGTTGGCAATTAAAATGGAAGGAAACAATGATAAATTGGCTAGTGTCCACCTC